CCCCAAAACCCCAAAACCCCAAAACCCCAAAACCCCAAAACCCCAAAACCCCATAGTTCAATAAATAGATTGAGAAATAAATTTATAAATCTATTTTTTGTATGTTGGAAATAACAGCACTCGATTTACTCTTAGATAGCATCTTTGGGTTCAGGACTACTGTCTTTCTTCTCTTTTTGGCCATTTCTTGAGCTTTCTGTTGTATATTATTTTGAACAACCTCGTTGAATACTACTGAACCAGATGAACCCATCTTACTATTTCTAAATTTTCGGTTATCTTAGTTTATTTCAAATATAAGATAAAATAAGCTGGTCTAATACACTTTGTCGGATCTAAGAAGATCTCGTTAACCCTATAACTTACTTAAACCTTCTTCTATGACCAATTGGGTCTCTTGGCCCAAATACAGTACTAAGAGTATCTATGCTCATCTTTTGTTTGCCAAATCTCACTCTCTTCTCTCTTTCGCTGATCTTCCTAGAGCCAGATGCTAGGATATTATTACACTCCTTCTTATGGAAGATTATCTATCAATTATTTGTAACTGCATTACTTTTCTATTTGAATTTGTTCTTCTACGATGGCTCATTTGTGAGGTTATGCTAGAGACACTATGTCTATTACTTCCTGTCTTGGAGAGCTCCTCAATAGCTTCTAGGATTTGATTAGTGTTCCCAGAATTCATGGAAGATAAGCTTGGCCTCCTTTCCTTCCAATTCGCAGGCATCTTATTGAATAACTGAGGATCTTTCTTCTTCCCAATTGTTGAAGGCAGTCTATAAGGTCTGTTCAAGGACGGCATCGAATCAATGTTCTGAGAAGAAATGTAGTTGAACTATGAGTTAGATTTGATAAAATACGCTTGATTTGCTTTTCGACTGAACTGGTTTATTCCTCTCTTTCTTTTCCTTCTTAGGAGAATATTCCTGAATCGCTTTCAAACGATTATAAAAATTTGTCACTGTAGTTTCCTCTTGAGCAACCTCCTTCTTTTGTTCTCCTTTTATTTTAAGAAAGGCTTTCTTGTGAGGAATACCTATCCTTAATCTTTGTGAAACCTTTTCAGACTTTGAAAGGAAGTCAATAGCTGAAGTAAGATTCTCAAGCTCAGCTTTCTTAATTTTCTTTTTGTAACTATCTAAGAACTGGTTAACTTGAATCAAATTTTTGTGCTTGCTAAGTTCCCAATTTTGGTCTTGACCAAAGACCTCGTCAATGTAAATCTCTCGCTCAGCTAAAGGTAAAGGAGAAGAGATACCATGAATACTAGCAACCATGTTATTTTTCTCTAACTGTTTGTCTGACTACTCAGTATTCCACCTTTGTTGAAGCTGGTTGCTTAAGAAGTGGCTCTTTACTATGTTTAATATCATCAAGACTTCTTAGCCCTTTACTACGAGTCTTCTTCTGTTGATATCTCCTTGCTTTAGTAAAATTCTGAATGAATACAAGATGCTTAACTAATAAATGTAAAAGATTCTGGCAATTATTATCGAAATTTTGAGTTTGTGCAAGCAATGATTTCTTAGCTTTATGACTTTTAGGTTTCTTCTCATAAATTAGCTCAATCTTATTGCCATCCTCAATCATTTCTTTCTAAACCATTATCAAAGGTTTTTACGCTTAGCCCAGTATTACCCAGGACCACGTCATGGTTCTTAGTGTTGAGGAATACTTTTATCAGCAGATTCTTAAGATGATCCTTAGTCTCTCGGACTTCCCACTTGGCATCATCAAGCTAATAGTTTTGATCTAAAAGCTCACCTTCCTTTTCCAGATTTTAGCCTTCTTCTGCATGTTTTCCAGTTCTTGAGCTCGAAGGTGATGCAGCACTACAGATTATTGATAGAAATTACTCTCTTTCTTCTCATGATTCTTTTTGACTTCTTCTAACTTCTTGTTTAGCTTGAGCTTCTTTGACATGAGAAAAGCAAGTTCATTCGTGTAGTGGATCATTTGGTTCTCAAGTCTATGCTTTTCTGCGACCTTTTTATTCAATTTCTCAAGATCATTAGACTTGAGATACTTCATATGTTCTTCTCCTTCCTTCTTTTTCTTCAATGATTCTTCTTTGAACTTCTGCGCAGATTCAAGATGGAATTGAACTAAGATTGCTTTGGTAGCCATCACGCCTAAGTGAATTAATGATGGAGCTTACCTTCATTGAGTTTCTTCTCCATTTTCTTAACCTTGACTTTCTCTACTTTATTTCATCTTCTCTTCATCTTGTTTGAGCTATAAACAGGTTGAAGTAGAGCATACTTGAATTATAAGGTTTTTCTTCTCATTATATTTCTTGTCTAACTGATTATTTATGCATCGTTTTCATCTTGTCTAACTTTGCTCTGCCCCTTTCAAGCATATTCTCAGCACGGTCTATAACTGAGGACAAGAGCGCCTACCTCGTTCTTTGATAGACTGATATTTGATATCGTTTATCCTTTGAAATTTAGCATCTACATCTTGGATAGCTTCTTTGATTCTCTCTCTTCTTGCCTAAGAATAAAGGGAAAAGTTTACCTTCCTCATTCTGGTTTCTTCAAGGGTTCTCCCATAAACGTAGTTATACTTCTCTAGGAGATATTTTTAATGTGAATTTACCATTTTCATACAGAATATCCTCATATTTGGTTCTAATCTCATTTGGTGCGGGTGTGTTGTCAATATCTTCAGCCATCTGTACATCAGCTTCGATGCCATCTCTGACTTGCTCAATTTCATCTAATTTCTGCTGAAGAAGAGCTAGATAGTTCTCTTTTATTTGGGCTTCATATGCGAGTCTAGAAATATCACTTGAACTTTACTGGGATAGCAGTGGCTTTGTAGCATTCTCAAGCTTAGAATTCTTCTTATCTTCAGGCTTCTTTTCTTTTTCAAACACAGGGAACTCAAAATCTGGATCTACCAGCATAGTCTTTCTAGGAGCCCTAGGGCCTATGTCTTGGGAGTTTGATGTCTATAGGTGGCACTGAGGGCATACCTCTATTGATTCCTTGTCTGTAACGAAGGAGTCTTGCTCATCTGAATTATCTTCGCTCATTTTCAATATAATTTTATTATTCTGGGGTTTTGGGGTTTTGGGGTTTTGGGGTTTTGGGGTTTTGGGG